CGGCGCAAGCGGCCGGGCAGACGCGCCCCAACCCTCCCGTGGGCTGCGTACTGTATGGTCCGGACGGCCAAATGGCGGGCGAGGGCTATCACCAGCGCGCGGGCGGGCCGCACGCGGAGGTCGCCGCGCTGGCGGACGCGGTGGCGCGCGGCATGTCGCCGCGCGGCGGCACGGCGTACGTGTCCCTGGAGCCGTGTAATCACTTCGGACGCACGCCGCCGTGCTCGCGCGCGCTGGTCAAGGCGGGCGTGGCTAGGGTCGTCGTGGGCATGGTCGACCCGAACCCCAAGGTCGGCGGGAAGGGGCTCGACACGCTGAGGGAGGCCGGTATTCAGGTGCAGGTCGGCGTGGAGGGGGGGAGGTGCGCGGAGCTGGCGGAAGGCTTTGTGAGACGCGTGGAGAGGAAGAGGCCATTTGGCGTGCTGAAGTATGCCATGACGTTGGATGGGAAGATCGCGGCCGTGGGGGGGAGCTCCAAGTGGGTTACTGGGAGCGGGGCGAGACGGAGGGTGCATGAGATTCGGAGGGGGGTCGATGCCATTGTGGTTGGTGGGGAGACCATGCGGATGGATGATCCGAGGTTGACTGTTCGGGATGTCGAGACGGGAGAGGGAGGGCTCAGCCCAATTCGCGTCGTCATGAGTAGGTCGATGGAGCTTCCGAGGGAGGCCAGACTGTGGGACGATGCGGGGATTGTGGATACGGTCGTGCTCACAGGAAAGGGCCACGGGGAGGGTGCTTTTGTGAAGCAACTGAGGAGTAGAAGTGTGGTCGTGGAAGAGATTCCAGGGTTGACGCCAGACGATGCCATGGCGTACTTGTACGAGCGCGATTGTCTCAAGGTGCTGTGGGAGTGTGGCGGGCGTCTCGCTGCACAGGCTGTCGGGGACGGCGCGGTTCAGAAGGTGCATGCGTTCGTTGCTCCCAAGTTTGTCGGAGGGAGTGCTGCTCCGTCACCACTGGGCGAGCCGCCTCTGGTCACGGACATGGGACACGCGCTCGAGTTGCAGCGAAGCCGCGTAGAGTCCTTTGAGAATGGAGACCTCCTCGTTACCGGATATTTAGAGTAAACGCAGCGTGTCCTTTTGATCTCACTCTCAGAATCGCTACTGCAGTGAGGAAAAAGGGTGTTGAGCCGCAGAGGCCCGGTTGTTCGGATTGTTTTACGTACAAGTCAGGAAAGCGATAGCAGTTGGGACATTCCGCGCAGTTAGAGTAGTATATAATATTGTACAAATGTTGTTGGGAGAGCGTCTAATCGCAACTATAAGAGCAAAAGCTCATCCCTGCTCACCCTGAAGTCGATTCTAAACGCAAGACCAAAAAAAGAAAAGCCGGCTTCTTCTAGAAATGAACCTCCCTACACTCTGAGCCCACTTGCTCCATCGGACAATACGGGCACTTGAACCGATGACTCCCTCTTGGCAAGCGCAAGATAGACTGGTTGGACAACACATGCCCGCAAGGCAGCATCATGGGCATGTTATTGCCCTCGGACGCCTCTTCCTTGGACACGGGACAGGTGAAAATTGAGTGAAACTGACACTCTCTGCCCACATCAATCTCGACGGGCAGCGCATCATCCATACCCAAATCACTCAGCGTTGGCGCCACGCGGCTCGCCTTGATCAGCGTCGGAATCGCCTTGGTCCCGCATCGCACCACCGTCACCAAGCTCGGGTCGTGCTTCATGCCCTGCGCGCGGCAATACTCTCTCGACAGGGCGCGCTCAATGCTATCCCTATGCGCAGGCGACACGAGGTCGCGATAGGGCGACTCCGCAAGCTTGTGCACGTACAATAGACAGGTCATGAGTCTCTGCACGCTGGTGATGTGGTCCGGGAAGTGGGCAAAGTGGGCGCGGGCGTAGGCCAGCGCGGCATCGCGGTCGCCCGTTCCCAGGATCTGCAAGTAGGCCAGACGGTGCAGGCGGAAGAGCAGATGCTCGTCGCTGCCGCGCAAGGCGTCTTCGTTCTCCTCCCGCCACGCTATGGCCGGGCGCAGGTCTTGGTGGCGGAAGGCGGTGAGGATGTCGTGCAGGCGTCGGAACGGGCGGATGTGGTCGTCGTGCAGCTGGAGGTGTGCCTCGCGGAGGAACGAGTGACCGATGTCAAACAGGCCCGTGCGAAAGAGGTGCGAGGCGATGGCGTCGTTAATTTTGGCCGTGTTGAGGCGGACGTTGGGCGCGCACAGGCCGCCCAGGTGCGGGAAGGTGGCGGCGTCGATGGCGCGGCCCAGCTTGTTGATGGTGGCGCCGACCGACTTGTGGTCCAGCACCAGCGCGGCCTGCAGCCCCTTCGCCAGCTTGTGCAGGTGGCGCAGCTGGTCGAGCGGGGAGTCGGCGTCGGGCTGGGCGCCAGGCTGCGGGTCGGGGTCGGGGTCGGGGGAAACGTCTACTTGCATGTCGTCGGCGGAGGCGGGGGAGCGATGCGCTTCCAGGGCGAGGGCGATGTGGTGCAGGGCGTCATCAGTGGCGGCGGCAGCGCGGTGGTGGCGCCTGCGCATGGCGGCGTATTCGTTCTCGATAGACTCCATGGCGACGGTGGTGCAGGAGCAGGGAACGGGGTAGCAGGAGCAAGGAGCAACTATATGGAGCAGATAGTAGCGGGAGGTGGTGCGAGAGCAAGCCCTGTTATCATGGGCTGTTGCCGCGCATCTCAGGTGTTACAGTGAAGTGGAATGCGTCCAACACGTCCGCATGACATGACATAACGTGTCCACGTCTCGCACGTGGACACGTTTCAATGGCTTTGTTCGACACTCCACATGGCACACCGTGGTTGGATGCGCCACCACCAAGATATCCCCAAGAAGTCGAGCGCTTCGGAGCTTCACCGGTTAAGGC